ATAGGCCTTTTTTTTTGGACAATTTCATATTGGCAGAGAATATGTTTTTGTGCAAGAAGGTATTTCTCAGTTGGAAGGGGTGTATTTTTAGTAGTGGGTAATTTCTCACAGTGACGGGCTATATCTTAGCTGCGGAAATGCTTTGCACTCTTCCTGTGTCCTGTCTCCAACGGTGCTTAAGGTTCATGATTAATTAAACACTTACAAGTTCACTAACAAGATCTGTACCTCTTACCTCGATCATGACAACTTCATCAGTTTTTATTAAATTGTTTACGAGATCTAAATGTTATTATTGTTACTGATGACCTCTTAGTGCTTCGGAGCTCGTGATTGTATATTATTATTAAATTTACATCTTAGTGCTTGATGAATCCTGCCCAGTTCTCTTAATCTGTCTTCGCAAGTGGCTCATTTCAACTTTGTTAACGGGGGTTTAGCGAAGCGAACTCTCCATACTGGTTCTCTATACTCCAGGACTCATATACTGTACGTGTGTGTGTGTACTCGCCTACATACGCTTACACTATCAAATACGTCTATTCCATCATATATACTTGCCGATCTTAAGTTAATGATCTTACTGACACTCTATGACTAAGTTATGTATTGTATCCATATATATCTCCTCATTATGTAGCTATTCACTTGAACATTGCGTTTATATATATCTGAATTTCCATTTGAATCTTATCTCTGTAACTTGTGTTTGTGTGTCTAGCTTTCCCAGCTGTGGTACATTTGAAAGAATCCAGGTATTGATTGGAATCTTCACGTTATTCTTTCAGATTTAAAAGTAATTATATCTCCTTTAAACAGCTTGCGCATTGAGCCATAAAAAGAAGTGCCAGAAATACAAGGGCGTGTGTAAGAAGAAGTGCGGGACGAAGGAGCGCCAGATAGCCAAGGGCTGCACCAAGAAGAAGTGTGTCTGCTGTGCCAAGGCTTGCAAGCCCACGGACCACTGTAAGACTAACGGAGGCTTCTGTGTGGACAAGAAGAAGTCCTGTACAGGACGGGTCGACAAGGATGGCTGCAAGGGAACCAAATGTCTCTGTTGTTATCCAGGTAATACCTACATTACTACCTGTATACAATATATTCGAACTTGTCTTTTCATATACATGTATGTTCAAGAGATTTACGTTGTGACTCAACTTGTTGGTGAGTTTGGAATTAATGAAGCTGTAACTGGTTAAACATTCACTGCAGTATTTGCCGGATATTTTTTTCCTTTTTTTTCTTCCAAAATATTCCGAATAGCTGTATGAAACACTTGGGTCTCCAAAGGTTTCGATTTCGAAGAATACACAAGTGACCAGCAGAAAGCTTTCGTAAAACAAACATCATAAGCCTTGTCATAACGCGTACTAACAGTTACATGTGCATGTAATTACATATTACAATATTCAAAATATAATTTTACGAGTTAGTGTATTCAATTCGCAGACGAGAAGCTTAAGGTTCAAGTCCTTGTGGAAAGACCCTCGCTACCAAGCTTCGCCACAAATTTTGACTGGGTTTCAGAAATCGTAAGGGAGGGTTGTGTAGCTCATGACACCTTGTGTGGTTTACGACACCTTTACTCGACACTGTGTGTTTTACGACACCTTCACTCAACACCATCGGTAGTACAAGACACCTTCACTAGACTTATTGTCTATTTCAAACTTGTTTTATTGAAGACAATAACACGTAAACCCACACGTCAAGACAAATCATTTTGTCTTAAAAAATACAAATGGAACATTATTAGAGCATGTGAGATGTATGGAAGGAATGATGGGTAATAACCAATGGAAGAAATTCAGTCTTGTACATAATTCGTGCAAGGAGCGGAACGTCTCACCAAGAGTTAGTTTAGCTCATTTATTATGCACCCCATACCCTTCTTGTGTGCGGAAGTGAAAAGGGTTACTGGGGCACATAATGGGCTCAGGGACTGAACCCCATAATTCATTTAGCTAAGCAAGTTACAATTTTGATGAGCTAGTTACACAATTCAATATAAGTCGTCACATCAACAGTGGGTTCGAGATCGACTACAAGTAGTGTCTAAATTAAGCAACTGACATATGTGGAGAGCTAGTGTCACAACTGATATGTTTGTCCTTCACCCCCCCCCCCCATCCAGTGGGCAGCGGTGGATAGGTTACAATCACTTAGTTACTAAATACAGTTAACAAACTGGGGATATTTGGCTAGAATTTCCTGTAGCAGATCATTTTGAAAGAAATATTTATACATCGTTGGAACATTGGTTATAGAATTGTCTCTGAATTCACGTATTTTTTCGCACCCCATCACATAGTGACGGAGGGTGTGCGAATAATTTTGTTGACACAGTTTACATTTGGTCAGGTCTACATCAGCAGATAAGGAGAATTTCCAGAGATACTTGTAACCGAGTCTAAGCCGAGCAGTAGTAATATCTAGATTTCTGCTGATTTTATTGAATGAACCATAGATGTGTGGCTCCTCTTACATGATAGTATGATGATAAATGGAATTACTGGTGTCGATTTCACTTTGCCTCAGATCTACAAAATTTTGTTTAAATTTACTCAATTTCTCAATTTCAATTGAGTATTTACTCAATACTCAATTTCTCCTTTAAAGGCAGATTCTTTGGCTAACTCACCAGCTCTATCATACATTCGGAAGCCAACATGAGATGGAGTCCACATAAAATGGACTCTCTTACCATCATAAATAATTTTGTTTTATTTGTGTCTAGCTTCGGACACTAGCATGTTACAGTTATGTCTTAAAGAGTTGAGAGCAATTATGGATAACAAAGAGTCACTTATAATTAATATATCAAGTTTGGAGACTTTTACACATTTCAGTGCAAGAAGCAAGGCAAATAGTTCGATCTGAAGGATAGAGGACCAGTTGTTTATACGGACGTCCCCACTCAAAATAAAAGCCATCGCCCATTGTCAGGACAACTGCACTTCCACCTGCGCCAGTGGTGCGGTGTACGGAACCATCACTGTATAATGATTTGAGAGAGAGAATGCTCTGTGGACAGAGCATCAATATGGTTTAAGGCGTTAAGCTTTGCCTCAAGACGAGGCTTGGGCTGATCTCTGATTTGCTTCTTGGGTCGAAAGGGAGGGATTAAAGTTGGAAAGGGAGTAATCTCCCACGGTGCAGGAGAGTGTCCGTTGTGGTCTCTCTTGGTACAAATTATAAATATGATACGTTCTGAGTTCAGTTCCAGTTCTAGTTATTCATTTGGAACAATGTTGACCTTCAATAAAGAAATTCTTGAGGGTTTTAGTGCAAGGGTTAAGATGAATTAGCCTAAGAAATCTTTACCAATTTGATAGCTAATTTCAGTAACACGATCAACAACGAACTTAGCGTTGTCGATCGTGTTACTGAAATTAACTGTCTCACCATGAGGCTTTCTTGACTGACGATTTTTCTAGATGATAAATATCTAATATTGTAATATTCTTTAAAATTTTAGTATCGACGACACTCGCGACCTCAAACCCAACCGGAACTCTCCCAGGATCAAACACCACATCATCTGGATCAAACACCACACCCTCTGGATCAAACACCACATCTTCAGGATCAAACACCACATCCTCTGGATCAAACACCACATCTTCAGGATCAAACACCACATCCTCTGGATCAAACACCACATCCTCTGGATCAAACACCACATCCTCTGGATCAAACACCACATCTTCAGGATCAAACACCACATCTTCAGGATCAAACACCACACCCTCTGGATCAAACACCACATCATCTGGATCAAACACCACATCATCTGGATCAAATACCACACCCTCTGGATCAAACACCACATCTTCAGGATCAAACACCACATCCTCTGGATCAAACACCACATCTTCAGGATCAAACACCACATCTTCAGGATCAAACACCACATCTTCAGGATCAAACACCACATCTTCAGGATCAAACACCACACCCTCTGGATCAAACACCACATCATCTGGATCAAACATCACATCTTCAGGATCAAACACCACATCCTCTGGATCAAACACCACATCTTCAGTATCAAACACCACATCTTCAGGATCAAACACCACATCATCTGGATCAAACACCACATCCTCTGGATCAAACATCACATCATCTGGATCAAACACCACATCTTCAGTATCAAACACCACATCTTCAGGATCAAACACCACATCATCTGGATCAAACACCACATCTTCAGGATCAAACACTGCTTCTTCAATATCAAGTACAATAACAGGATTAAGCTCGACTATTTCGGCATCAAGCACAACCTCAGGATCAAATACAACAACGACAGGATCAAATACAACAACGACAGGATCAAGTACAACAACGACAGGATCAAGTACAACAACGACAGGATCAAGTACAACAACGACAGGATCAAATACAACAACAACAGGATCAAGTACAACAACGACAGGATCAAGTACAACAACAACAGGATCAAGTACAACAACGACAGGATCAAGTACAACAACCACAGGATCAAGTACAACAACGACAGGATCAAATACAATAACCACACAGTCCAGTACGACAACTACTGCAGCAAACTCAACAACAACCATAAATGCAACACTTGCTTCTCTCTATGTACAACTCAACCAACTGCTCTCTAACTTAAATACCACAATTAATACGATTACGCATCTGCGAACCATCCAGGCTCAAATTGCTAATATTTCAGCTGCAATTAACACACTACTTGGGAGACGGAAGAAGCGTAGTTCCCTAACTGACGTACAGGACATTCAAAGTGTGATCGACAACTGTACAGCAGCAATAAATCAGCATGACTTTGTTACTTTAGAAAGTCTTATCCCGCAAATAATTGCAGCGGTGAATACGTTAAATCAAATAAAGCAATCCATAGGGACCTCGACCGTCGATGCAACCCTTCAATCAGCTGTGCAATCAGCTTTTACCAGCGTCCACGCTGCCATCACCGCTGCAGAAGTGCTTGGAAATAATATAATAAATCAACTAAAGACATTAGAACAGGAGATCAGCTCACTGGGAGGAATCACAGTGCTTGTACAAACACTGCCGCCAACGCTGCCAACTGCTGGTGTCAGTACAACGACGACCTCAGCGATAACAGGTTCCTCAACGACCTCGAGCTCTACGACAGATTCATCAACGTCTACTTCGGGAGTATCTTCATCTGGAACAACATCTACAACCAGTTTAGGTCCAGGAACAACCCCGGTAACTTCCACTAGCTCAACCTCGTTGGGAACATCAACTAGTCCATCAGGTGCAGCAACCACTTCTACTACATCTTTAACAACATCAACTTCTGCTTCAGCAACATCTACTACTACTGGCTCAACAATATTTACTACTTCAACGACGTCTACCACTGGTTCAATGTCTACTACAACCTTAACAACTACTACAATATCAACTGCTATTACAACATCGACTGCTAGCACAATATCAACTACGAGTACATCAACTACCAGCACCTCAACTACCAGCACATCAACTACCAGTACATCAACTACCAGCACATCACCTACCGATACATCAACTACCGATACATCAACTACCAGTACATCAATTACCAGCACATCGACTACCAGTACATCAACTACCAGCACATCGCCTACCGATACATCAACTACCAGTACATCAACTACCAGTACTTCAATTACCAGCACATCGACTACCGATACATCAACTACCAGCGCATCGACTACCGATACATCAACTACCAGCGCATCGACTACCGATACATCAACTACCAGCGCATCGACTACCGATACATCAACTACCAGCACATCGACTACCAGCACATCGACTACCGATACATCATCTACCAGCACATCGACTACCGACACATCAACTACCAGCACATCGACTACCGATACATCAACTACCAGCACATCGACTACCGACACATCAACTACCACCACATCGACTACCGATACATCAACTACCAGTACTACATCAACTACCAGCGCATCGACTACCGATACATCAACTACCAGCGCATCGACTACCGATACATCAACTACCAGCACATCGACTACCGATACATCAACTACCAGCACATCGACTACCGATACATCAACTACCAGCACATCGACTACCGATACATCAACTACCAGCACATCGACTACCGATACATCAACTACCAGCACATCGACTACCGATACATCAACTACCAGCACATCGACTACCGATACATCAACTACCAGCACATCGACTACCGACACATCAACTACCAGCACATCGACTACCGATACATCAACTACCAGTACTACATCAACTACAGCCTCAGCTACTGGAAGATAATACAGACACACGAACAACAACAGCCATCAAGTGATTACAGACGGGAGGACATATCAGCATCAGGCTCAACAACCTCGGGTACAACAACAGCTATAACTACCATAGCAACAACAACCTCGGGTACAACAACAGCTATAACTACCATAGCAACAACAACCTCGGGTACAACAACAGCTATAACTACCATAGCAACAACAACCTCGGGTGCAACAACAGCTATAAACACCTCGGGTGCAACAACAGCTATAACTACCATAGCAACAACAATATCGGGTGCAACAACAGCTATAACTACCATAGCAACAACAACCTTGGGTACTACAACAGCTATATAAATAACATAGAAACAACCCCAGTTACAACAGCTATAAATACCTTGGATACAACTATATTTATAACTACCATTACAACAGCTATAACTACCATGGGTACAACATTCTCGGGTACTACTATAATTATAACTACCATGGCTACAACAATAGCTATAATTATCATGGCTACAACATCAGTTATAACTTCAATGGCTACAGAAACCTCGAGCACAACAACTATAACTACAACGACTACAACAACCTCGTGTCCAACAACAAATATAACTTCCATGGATACATCGATCTCGGGTACAACACCAGCTATAACTATCATGACTACAACAGCCTCGGGAACTACAAGACATAACTTTCACTGCCATTTAAATTGAGCAACAATAATTAGAGCTATCGTTGCTACCAAGACCTCGGGAACAACAGTTATGATTACCACGCCTCCAACAACAGCTGTAACTACGAAAACATCTACAACCTTGAGCAGTACAATAGTCATAAATACTCTGGCAACAGCAACTTTAGTTACAATAACTGTTTTAAATACTGTGGCTTCAACAACCAGGTGGTCTGAGACACAGCTTGGTCTGATAATCCAGCACCTCGCGCTCATAATAACGGAGCGGCATGTTAATGGCAAAGTCAAGAGATCAACGGAAACAGTCGATTAAGCAGTATTGAAATGCTGTACAGATACTGAATCAATTCAATTCAATTTCTTTCAATTCATCATTTCATTTATTATGCACCCTATACCCATCCCGTGGGCGGTGATGTAAAGGATTACAGAGGCACATAATCGGTTCAGGAACTGAACCCTCTAGTTCGTTTAGCTAAGTAAATAACAATTTTTGACGCTAGTTACAAAATTATCAATGTTGTATTCACATGTACACACCCTCATACATACATGTACATATATATATATATATATATATATATATATATATATATATATATATATATATATATATATATATATATATATATATATATATATATATATATATATATATATATATATATATATATATATATATATATATATATATATATATATATATATATATACGTATACACATATACATACACATACATATCTAATCACCCACACAATTACACACATCAATAATCTTTGTGTCACAAGTGACACAAAGAGGTGTCACAATTAAGTGACATTACAAGAGGCTCACAACAGTCACTATACGAGGCACTTTACATCTATAGTGAGTCACACAGTTACTAGTCTTGCTGCACACCCACCCAACTTTCAGATACTGAAAGCTTCCGTTCAAGCTTATTGTATGTTCAGCTGCTGAACAATGGCTTATCAAGCTGATGAGAGAGACATAGTTATACTGTCATGTCAATTTTTAAGCTACCATGTTTTAGCAATACACATATTAACAAAAATACAAAAATAAACTAAGTTTAGAGCATAGTACAACTAAGCTTCAAATTGTTTCTTGAATATTAATAACGAAGAGATTGCTGAAAATTATATATTTGTCTTACCCTTTGCCCAGTGTTATTTATTAATGAAGGTAAATATATAAATGTATATTTACGTTGATACATAGCTATAGGACACAATATTCTGGCCCTGTGTTGGCCATTTGAGTGCTGCACTAAGCATTAACAAAATTGTTACAAAGTAAAGTTGACAGTACAAGCTTGTGTTTAATTATCCCGAATGTTTGTACTCATGTATATGTGCTCGCGCAAACTACAGTTTCTGGGCCTCCTCTTTTTAGCGAAGTATGCGCCTTTCATGCTGCACGCAGGTTGGCGTTCCATCCCCGACCGTCCAATTTTTTTTTTTTTTTTTTTTTTTTTTTTTTTTTTTTTTGTTTTTGTTTTTTACATGCAAATTAAATACAATAAAAACAACACAGAAAACAGAACAGAACAAATTAAAACAATAGACCACCGGCCAGAAGGGCTCACAGCACAGCACAACAAAACACAAACACGATAAATGCATAGAAAAATACTGCATACATCAAGGCACAAAACATAATACAATGGCAAACAAGCAAGCACAGTAACATCACAAAACAAAACCTTCATAAAATAAAACATACATCAAGAGGCATAACAGGAAACACAACAGGACAATCACAATACATACCAAACAAAACATAAAGAACAAACACGTACAACAGGTAAAGCAATATGAAAACACCAGTGCAAACGTACAGCACAGAAACAATACAGGAATAAAAACACTCACACCAAACCATCCACCCCGCAACAAACAAAGGGCGAGGCCAAAATAAACAAGCAAACCACGCAAACCAGAAAACAAACAGGTACAAACACAACAATATACATGCACTGGCCTGAAGGACCGAGAATAAAACACAACATAAAGTACATCAAGAAACATAACAAGACACTTCGCACAGCACCCAACAAGCCAAGAATACAAACAAAAACAACAACTACAGTAACATGAAATCAGTGTACATATTTGCCCGGGAACATATCCAGTGGAAACCGCACATTGAACGCCTCCCAAAGCAGCCACGTTGTCCAGGAGGCGTGACCTAACACCGGCTGCGTGACCAATCTGAGTAAAGGTAACATTGTTGATCTTATCGTTTGTATACATGTTCACCAGGAGGTTAACCCACTTTTCAGAGCACCTGGTTTATTGATAATTTAATATTATTTTTTTTTATCAAGAACTCCCTCCTACCTCGGCAAATATCGTTTCCAAATATTGAGAGGCAGGCACTGAACTTGATCCCATTACCTGACAATAAATTATCCATTCTACCTACTATGTCACTCACTTTTTGTCAGGATATCATACCTTAATTATATTTCTTAAATCCCTGGAACAGAAGGCCTTATTCATATAACGCACCAAAGAATACTCAACAACTAAAATTCTACTTTCTTTGTTGCCAAATTCAACTTTCTCACCATCTGAGTCCCGACACAAATTTAGCTGCTGCAGAAGAGAGAAACGGTTGGATGTTTCCGCCGTAGACTATGTCATGTAAATTAAAAGACTACGGAGAAGTCTTGGAGTTAACCCTCCGGCAAGAGAATACTGGAAAACAAACTAAAAAGCATTCACTGAACACTACCATCCACTACCGCTATTATATGAGCTGACATCACCAATCTTTTATGCACACCTATGGCTGTGCCCATTCTTATTTGTTTTTACTAAATAGGTTTGCTATTGCCACAGCCACTTTCCTTCCTGTGCTGACTCTTCTCTCAACTTTGTTTGAACAAGTAATTGTTTTAGCACTCACATGCTCCAGGTATGAACTATCTTGACCATTTCCGTCATTTAAATATTTACAAATATATAATATATAGTGATGCCTTTTCTCTCCGCTCTCATAACATTACTTCTGTCCATAATCACCTTTTAACATTCTTATCTCACAAACCTCAATACAACGTTCAAGTAGTCTGCATTGCTCGTTATCACTCTTTGCTATCTCTGAAATAATAATGAAAGTTATTAATTATATATCAAAATAGCTATCTTTTGATAATTACATACTTCACTCTTTTTTCTGAAAGAATGTTATTCTTCTTATATCAAACACCCAAACATGCTCCCAACACCCAAATATTAGGTATATATACGCTTGATTTACACCTTTATCTCAACCAGTTCTCTATAATCTTGACGTCATCGCAGTTTGACGTCAAAATTCCCAACGGACAATACATGGTGTAATAAATATCATAGCGGCTCGCTAACATTCACGTTTGTTTTTATGCGTGGGTCTTAGGTTACGTTAGTTTATACTAGGTTCGGGAAATTTAGAACATCATTTTCTGTCCGTTGTGACCATTCGGGAGGACTATGTTCCCTATCTAGCAACATTTTCGTGACCCCTCTCATGACCTCGGTCACATATGTACTGGATAACTCTGGTGACATTACACAACCCAGATATTCACATGCGTTATATCCACCAAGTCACATCATTACAACATTAATTATATGTGCATTCATTGAATAAATTAATGAAGATTTTTCATATATACTTAAATACCAGGAATTACCTTTTAAATTGCCGTTTCGTCTAACCTCTCTTAAAAATAAGGTTGTCAAATCAATAATATATGTTTCCAAAAGTCAATAAGTTTCTTATATATAAATTATGTACTAATTAGCAATAACAAATCATTAGTTAATGTAGGTTTTCACAAATCTTACCAGTTAACAACTAAAAGATCACAATCAAAATGAGAATACTGTTAATGTAGTAAACCATTGTAGTAAAGTCATTGATGTCACCAACACAAGTAATCACAGGGCAAAACAAACAGCGGGGAAAGAAAACCCTGTTGAGCTTGACTCTAGTCTCATTGAAAAATTTATAAATGCAAGAATAATAACAAAAACACATGATTTAGTTATGCATAACTATCCACATAGGAGAGAAAAACGAAAGCGCTAGGATTCATTTCATCTCCTATGTGAAACCTTACGCTAATTAAGAAAACTTTGAGAAAGATATAGTGCAGAATACAACCTCACATTCAATCCTGATAAATGTCTGTACTTTTTTCAACTGAACTCATTTTATCCCGATCTTAAACTAAAATTTATTGGCATAGTCTAATAAAGTATTCTGAAAAGCATCTTGGCCATATTATATCCACAAATGGGCCACATTTTCTATTTATATATCTTGCGAATCTTGAAGGAGAACTGGAAAATAGGCATGAAAACGATAAAGTGCTTCATTAAAATTCGTATCAATGAAGGAATTGTAAAGCAGCTGCTGTGTTCTTGTGCACAAAATTGTAGAGCAACTGATGTATTCTTGTCCACACATTATAATTTCAGCAAATCGATATTAAATTCTGAAAATTAATTAAAAAGTAATATGTAGTTTATTAAATAAATATACAAACTTAAGGGAGAACAGTTCCTATTTTCACGTACTCATCTACGCACTAGGTGAGTATATGAATTTTTAGCTCCACGGTTATTAAAGGTCAGGAATACTCAATTAATTATTCAAATTGGCCTTTCAAGCCGTTTTAACTAAAACATATATAACACAGGAGACTAAAGCATCTTCACATGTATATCTAGTACGTGTTTCAAATATGTGGTAATGTACGTTGACGTTCTGATCACCCTGAAACTGACCTGTCGATAAGAAGCACTGTTTTTAGCTAACCTTCTTCGGTACTGATCATTGACTAACAGAACACGAAAAAATATATTTCGTATTTTAAAGTTTTGAGAAAAATTATTTAATTTTAACGCTTCCAAGGAAAAAAGTTAGCATGATAGAATGTATTGTTAATTTCTACGTGAAGTTGAGGAGCTGTTGGTTAATAAATAAAATCTATTCAGTCTAACAGTATGTTAACATGGAAAGTAAGTGTTAAGTCAAAATAGTAATATAAACGATTTTATACTAAATGAGGCTGTACTTGAACATTCGATATACATCGTATAAACTGAATGTTTTTTTTTAAATTTAAAGCATTGCTAATGTACATTTTCTGTTAAAATGTGTAGTCTGTTTTTATAGGTTAGCTCATATGGAATAGATTACGAAAATTACTTATATATAGTAAACGCATATAAATTGGACGATATTTACATCGTAACAACGGGCTGAATAAACAATTAGGGCCCTAACCGATGGGAGTACTATGTGTTCCGTCTGCGTCACAGAACACAACACCTGTTAATCAAAGCCACTAATCTGCATATGAATGATCTGATCCAGTATAAAAGATCTTCCCACAGTACCTACAGTGTCAGTGCATCTCGTCGTTGGCCAGCCATTGAACGTTCTGGAACTGCGTTCCCAGCCTCTATTGCTGCCATTCACCGGAGAGACTGAGCTCCCAACCCCTGTTGTTGCCATTTGTCGGTGGGACTTGACCACTTAGCTACACGCCAGTGTACTCCTGCACAGCAGAGTCAAGAGTTGCATCACACCTGCAGTATCAGCTGCACATTTCCAACATGAAAAGCATAATTTTATCTGCTTTAGTCTTCTGTTTTTTCCTTCTGGTGCAGGTATGTATGATCTCGTACGTGTAACCCACATTAAATGCAATATTATGTTATGAAGAGTACTGTCGGTATGAACCTCACAGGCCGGTGTATTGGGCAGTAGTGATAAAAAAGAATAGGGGAAAGATAAACAAAGAACAATTACGAGTAATATTCATAGTTAATTAAACAAGATGATGCCTGTATTTTGAATGAATTGGAGTTAATTGCTGGAGAGTCATATGACAAACACTTCAAAACGCATCAGCAATGTTTAGAGTTTAGTACTTACAAATGTCACTACCTTTAATAAAAGTAATAGGTACAAAAATGAGAAAATATCCTAAATCTAAAGCTTGAAAAGTTCAAAAGCTGAAATAAAGTACAGGAACTTGCGGAACAGCCAGTTCTCTTGATTTGCTACAACGCACAAAATACAAAGTACTAACCTAACCAGAAATGCACAAACCCAAGCCAGTCTTCTAAGGTAACGTATTCTAATGATACACATTACACGAGAGACCGGGTTGAGCTAAGACCGTCTATAGCAGCGGTCTTGTCGCGACACAAGGACAATTCACTCCCCCTGAGATAACCTCTGGTGAACCAGGTATGCTCTGTTAATAACATAACTAAATCACCAGAGGTTATCTTAGAAGAAATTCAGACCTGGTGTTTAAGGTGTGTGGCAGGTTCTGAGCACACAATTGCCTTAAGCGTTGCAACGCTCACACATGTAATATGACCAATTATTATTTGTGATAGTAGCAGCTAAGTATATATATATATATATATATATATATATATATATATATATATATATATATATATATATATATATATATATATATATTTAAATATATATAATATATTTATATTATATATATATATGTCGTACCTAATAGCCAGAACGCACTTCTCAGCCTACTATTCAAGGCCCGATTTGCCTAATAAGCCAAGTTTTCATGAATTAATGTTTTTTCGTCTACCTAACCTACCTAACCTAACCTAACCTAGCTTTTTTTGGCTACCTAACCTAACCTTACCTATAAATATAGGTTAGGTTAGGTTAGGTAGGGTTGGTTAGGTTCGGTCATATATCTACGTTAATTTTAACTCCAATAAAAAAAATTGACCTCATACATAGAGAAAAGGGTTGCTTTATCATTTCATAAGAAAAAAATTATATTAAATATATTAATTCAGGAAAACTTGGCATATTAGGCAAATCGGGCCTTGAATAGTAGGCTGAGAAGTGAGTTCTGGCTACTAGGTACGACATACTGTATATATATATATATATATATATATATATATATATATATATATATATGTCGTACCTAGTAGCCAGAACTCACTTCTGAGCCTACTATGCAAGGCCCGATTTGCCTAATAAGCCAAGTTTTCATGAATTAATTGCTTTTCGACTACCTAACCTACCTAACCTAACCTAACCTAACTTTTTCGGCTACCTAACCTAACCTAACCTATAAAGATAGGTTAGGTTAGGTTAGGTAGGGTTGGTTAGGTTCGGTCATATATCTACGTTAATTTTAACTCCAATAAAAAAAAATTGACCTCTTACATAATGAAATGGGTAGCTTTATCATTTCATAAGAAAAAAATTAGAGAAAATATATTAATTCATGAAAACTTGGCTTATTAGGCAAATCGGGCCTTGCATTGTAGGCTGAAAAGTGAGTTCTGGCTACTAGGTACGACATATATATATATATATATATATATATATATATATATATATATATATATATATATATATATATATATATATATATATATATATATATATATATATATAATATATATATATATATATATATATATATATATATATATAATATATTTAAATATATATAATATATTTATATTATATATATATATATATATATATATATAAAATATATATATATATATATATATATATATATATATATATATATATATATATATATATATATATATATATATATATATATATATATATATATAAAAGAAGGGGTACCACCTCTGGTGCAATTGTAGGCACCCGTAGCCTCGGAGAAGAAAATAAAGAGTACTCAGAGAAGACCTTGTGGATCCTCACTGAACACTTTGATATTTTCTTCTCCTACCACCCCTATTCTTTTGGTATGTGTGTATATATCTAATTTTATTTGAAAATGTCATTACACAAACAAAAGTTACAACATTGGTTACATGCAGGGTTAGTTAGTTTAGTTCATTTATTATGCACCTCATACCCATCTTGTGGGCGGTAGTGGAAAAGGTTACAGAGGCACATAATGGGCTCAGGGACTGAACCCCACAATTCATTTAGCTAAGCAAGTTACAATCTTGATGAGCTAGTTACAAAATTCAATATAAGTCATCACATCAACAATGGGTTCGAGATCGACCTCAAGTACAGGTTCTAAATTAAGCAACTGACATATGTGGAGAGCTAGTGTCAAAATTTATATGTTTGTCCTGCACACCGCCCCCCATCCAGTGGGCAGCGGTGGATAGGTTACAATCACTCAGTTACTACCTACAGTTAGCAAACTGGGGATATTTGGCTAAAATTTCTGGTAGCAGATCATTTTGAATGAAATATTGACACATCGCTGGAACATTGGTTATAGAATTGTCTCTAAATTCACGTATCTTTTCGCACTCCATCACATAGTGACGGAGGGTGTGCGAATAATTTTGTTGACACAGTTTACATTTGGTCAGGTCTACATCAGCAGATAATGAGAATTCCCAGAGATACTTGTAACCGAGTCTAAGCCGAGCAGTAGTAACATCTCAAGACTATTTGTCACAGGTTATATAGCTCCTCCAGCTCCTCAGATGGCGGGCAGGAACCATGGATGCAGTGAGCATTTCCTCTCTGGATCGCCACACTAAGGCGCTGAAAGATAAAACTGGCAGCTCTAGGGTCTCTAGTTGTTTCAATTAGCTTGGACTCCAACTCCTTAAAAAAAACTAGCAGCACTTTTACCCCAGGCACCAAGTGTCTCTGAGGCAATGGGGACAAAATTGTAGTGGTGTTCAAGGTCTCTGTATTTACATGACTTGGCTGCTTCTCGGTGATTGGCAGCACCTCCTGCTTGTGTAGCACTGAAGTCAACATAGGTGTTGACTTCAGTTGAGACGCAAGTGCAGTCCCAAACCAACTGTCTACCATTCTTCCAGGGGTTCACCGTGATTCCGTCTGGGCGACTGACAGGCTCATCAGAGTTGCGGGACATTAGGTAACGGGGCTCTCTCTCTGCTGGACAACCGGCTGTGGTAAGGCTTCAATTAATATGGTCGTGAACCTCGCCGTGTCTTGCATACCATCCTCCTGTCCTTTAGCAGAGAAGGCCATGCCGTCCGTACCTGTCGGCCTCTGCCTCGCCGAAAATACACCTGTATTCGGTGTGAATTGGGGCAGCGAGGCGGAGAGCCACGCCAATTCGGAGGGCCTGCGGTGTGAGACGGGTGCCGGTTGCTGATATTGGGGTTGCTAATAGGAAGTCACCTGCATGGGGCGCTGCTACAGCTCTAAGTCGGGCAGTGTCATGTGGTGTTGTCGCAGCTTCTAGCAAAGTCGCAGCTTCTTGGTCGGCAATGGGGCGATTCCAGCTGGATTGCTTATGGGCTTCAAAAGGCGGTGGTTGGAGGTGCTGGTCCTGCGAGAGAGACCCATTTGGTTGTGCAGTTTGTGAGCCATTTATCATGTACCCCTGCCTGTTGAACTAGGTGTTCAGGTAGGATTTCCTTCAACAAGTTGTCAGACCCCACTGAAGAGGACAGGAACGCTGGTACAGCAATTTGTGTTCCTGTGCGCATGCCAAGGCCCCCGAGTCTGACAGGAAGGGAGACCTGTTTCCACTGTGAGTCGCTGAGGGAAATGTTGAGGGCTTTTTCTAGCGTTGATTTCAGCAAGCTGTTGTACTCTTCTAATTTAATATTGTTGAAAGATGGCGAACATCTTAGAAAGTAGGTCAGCCTGGGGAGAGACAAGCCTCTGGTGATGAGGTAAAGTGCATCATGAGCATCGATGTCTTCAATCTTCTCGTTCATCCTCTTCAGGTCAGTGATCTTCTTACCAAGGACCCCGTTGATGGCATTCCTTCCAAGAGGAGCACCTAGGAGTGTGCTGTCCTCAGGGTTGGTTGTATGAATGTCAGGCAAAACAACCTTTATTTTCTCTATTATGTGCTGGTTGGTGGAGGTTATTTCGCACTTGGAAGGGTTCAGGGTGAGGCCTAGGCTTGCTCCTTGCTCCTGAATTATTCTTATGTCGTCCAAGAGTGAGGCTGGGGAGCCGGCTAGAGTACCATCGTCCAAAAACCAAATATTGAGCTCACTGGACAGGTTATCGGTGACTTCCTTGATGACTAGGCAAAAAAGAAAAGAAAAGGAGCAAGGGGGGGGGGGTCACCCTGTTGGACACCTTGTGATTCAATTTCATGTTCCCCGAATAGCAGAGTTAGATGCATGAGTTTACAAATGGGTAGAGGGAAGGAAAAAGGCGATGAACCGCACTGAGTACTGCATCCCTTCTAACCAGATTGAAAGCATTTTTGAAGTCCAGTTTTATCAGGGCGTTTTCATCCGTAATGTCGGCAATGTAGGCTATATATATATATTTATATATATATTGATAATATCTTGTAAATATTGCCTGCAAATATAAGTTCAGACGAATTTGTAGCTAAACGTGATGACCAAGTCATCTCTATAATATTTACTATCTAGACTGAAATTGACAAATGTTTGCCATTCTTAGATATTCTTATTCATAGGGAAGATTTTTCACTAAAATTCAGTATTTACAGAAAGCCTACGAATAGTTTATGTTATGTTCAATATTTCTCAGGGCATAGATACAATGTGAAACAATCTATTTTTCCTCTATCTAAGAGCTCTTCGTGTTGTTACTCCAAAAATTTTGGATGAAGAGTTCAAGAATATTGATTCTATTGATCTCAAGCTTTGTTATCCACCGAGTTTTTTCGAAGTTTGCCATAACAAAGAACGTCATACATATTATAATGTTATATGTAGTGAGAAAATTCACCCAAAAAAATATATTATGTTTACTATATTTTTCTAGGTTCGAAAATATTGTCAAGGCTTTGAAACTTTTTTATATACATGTATAGTTTAATTACGAAAATACTGTTGGAAAATTATTAGTTAGAAATAGCCCTCGTAATGATAATTGCGTCATTTACAAAACACCTAGTAAAACTGTAATAGGTTCTATGTAGGGGGAACATCTAAAGATTTAAAATTTTGAATTTTGTCACATGTCACTCTGTAAGAAATGGCCAATTATATAATGCTTTGTTTGTTCATATATCAGAAAGTTCTCAGCAAATTTATTGGGAGAACGCTTCTTCAGTAACGAATTGTAAAATCATTTTCAATTGGAACATAATTGATTCTGCTTTAATACATATTACAAAATCATATAATTTTAACATTAGCAGTGGTTGTATAATTTGGATTCATTTTTGATTAATTGGTTAAAGGGCGATTTGAGTAGGATCACTGATACACATTTTTCTCACTAATACCTTATTAATATTCCTTCATCTCATTAATGACATTGTACTTCACCTCACGTCTTTTCCCCTTATATATAAATCTATGTAAGTCCATTCTTCTGAAGATTTTTTATCAAATACGAAAGTACTTAAGGAAATTCCTGTCTCAATTCTTCCTCCGTGGAAGGATTGATATATATATATATATATATATATATATATATATATATATATATATATATATATATATATATATATATATATATATATATATATATATATATATATATATATATATATATATATATATATATATATATATATATATATATATATATATATATATATATATATATATATATATATATATATATATATATATATATATATATATATATATATATAGTGTGTGTACAATACAATACAATACAATACAATTTTATTTAGGTAAGGTACATACATACAATAAATTTTTACAAGGATTGGTAGACTTATAGGTAGAGCTAGTACATACAATGCCTAAAGCCACTATTACGCAAAGCGTTTCGGGCATTCGGGCATGTATATATAATATGTTTTGTTCAAAGTATTTTCACTCTGCAGGAACAGGTGCATGGGGAAAGAAATGTAGCAAATCGTCAGGAGGTAAATGGTCAAGACCTGCTGACTCAGAGAAGAAGAGATACAGGTACTGACAAACATGGCGGGAAAAGTGTTGGTCACGGCAGAATTGAAGAAGTAGGAACAGGTCGCCGAGACAAGAATGGAGGAAAACCTGTTCCTTCCAAGAAAAAAGAAACTAAAAATGTTAAGAAATCGTTAAAACATCGAACTAAAAAACAGAAAACGAGTTTTCGCACCAAGAATGGACAAAAGCGTCATGAAGGGCAGAGGAGGAAAAGTTCTATCAAAAGGAAAGGAGAAAAACGTCGAGGAAGCAAGAAAGGCATAAAGAATAGTGTAGATCAACCCATCAGGAGTAAGAAAAAAACTAGTCGCACCAAGAGCGGAAAGAAAGATCGCGGAGGCAAGAATAAGGATAAACTCCAACGTGGCAAACAACGGCGGCAGAAGAAGAAGAAAGATGGTCGCGTCAAGAATGGCAAAAAGGTTTTCACTGTCAAGAAGGCTGCTAAGGGACGTGACAAGACTGATAAAGAAGTTCCCACTGCCAAAAAGATCGTTAAGGGACGAAAAGTTACTACAGAGAAAAAACAAAAGAAGAAATCAAGAAAAAATTTAAAAGAGTCGAAACACAAAAATCGAAAGACAGGCGGCCGAAAACAGAAAAAAAATAAAAAATCAATGAAAACAAACTCAAAGAAAACAAAACCCCGAAAAAATCAAAATGAGAAGCCTGCGTCAAATAAACAAAGGAATATGATGAATGGGAAGAAAGCTAAGAAAGTTAAAGGCATTAAAGTAAAGGGGAATAAACACAAAAAGAAGCAAAACAAAGCTAGCAAGAACCAGATGAAAAGTAACAAAAAAACTAAGAAAAACCTTAAAACCATAAATAAGGACAAACGCAAGAAACACAAAAATACCAAGAAGAATAAAACCAAAGTTAAAAACAGCAAGAACTCTAAAAAAAACAATAAAAAGCCCAAGAAAAGTAAATCCAAGGCGGGTAAGAAAGGTGACGAGCCGGCAGTAAAGGAGGAAGGGAAGCAGTCTGACGGGAGGAAAGGTTATCCAGCTTCGGGTGAGAGTCATGGTGACGATTTTGACTCCAAAAGAAAGTGCAAACCTCACAAAAAGTGTACTCAAGCCGGCGGGAAGTGTCAGAAGAAAAAGACCTGCAAGACTAAAGTTGTCGCTGTCAAGTGCAAGGGGAAGTCGTGCGAGTGTTGCCTCTTACGTAAGTGTCTATTTGTTTTCAATGTTTGATGGGTTCATTTTGTTGGAATGGAAGGAGCAGGAAGTTATTAGCATGACAGTTGCTTTTAACAATAAAACTTTTGCCTCTACATTTTGTGCCTGGTGATTCAATCCATCTATCCATTATCTCTCCACTATGAACAAATCCACAAGGGCTGTGACGAGGGTTCGAACCCTCGCCATAGCCCTTGTGGATTTGTTCATATGATGCATCACGCTATTGTGATGTCTGTGTGTAGTGTGTCTCTCCACTATACGTGGGATAGTAATATAATCTCGCGATTATAATACTTTTTAATAATTAGCTTAGGATAAGAGATGTTAGCTTTTTCTGGATGTCTCAGCTATTAGTCTAATACTTGAAAGTGAAACTTGCTCAAGATTTATTTGTAGTTAACTTTATTTGCACAGATACATATGATGACTGATGTCTGTTCTATGGAGAGATACAAAACCTGCTCAAAAATATATTTTAAGTCTGTAACATGAATTTATTTGAAATATACATCGGCCTCAAACTAGATCTATCAGAAGGAATTTAGGTTAAGTGATACAATGTGGAACAAGAATATTGAAACCAAAATTATCATTAAGTAGATAATTATAATGACCCATTTGCTGGACTCTCAATTATAGTAAGTAGTTGTGACAGTATTTTATTTGTAAAGTTGTTTGACATCACTACGACAATTTCTCCTTCCGGAAGTCACGTACTGAGAGAGACTCGACTCTAGTATTGTCTGATTCAGATCTCTTAAACTGTCCTCTGAGCTCAGCGCTCTTACTTCTGACAACAATGTTCTAGTATAATACCCAGGACTCTCTCAAGCAGGTTATTGTGATCGCAGAGACGAGCAGAGCTCGAGCTGCATATTGTAGAGCCGGCCATTCATTTGCTTCCGCTCTACTTGTCACTGTTGCTGCTTTCCTTTTTACCTTAATAATCATTCTTCTTGCCACTTTACAGCTTTATGTTTGACCTTACGTACACTTCTTCGGTCCCCCTGCTGTTTACTTGGGATCTGTTGGGGTCCACTACTATTTATCCTCAAATCCTCTGTCTTATAAATATTCTTATCTACCAACAGTGATGTAATATTGTGCATTGGTCACCTCTATCACAGGGTATTCATTCAAGACACATCTGCAAATGTAGTTACGATTCTATCAGCTTTCTCAGACAATGCTCTGTATTTATGATGAGTGCCAAGGCTTGCAAGCCATTGAGCGCCTGCAATGTTCTTGGTGGTCACTGTGTCGACAATAAGAAACTCTGCACAGGATTGATAAACAAAAAGGGCTGCAAGGGAACCAAGTGTCTCTGCTGTTATCCAGGTAAGACATCCGATTACCATCACTTAAGCATATACTTGAACATCTGTGAACGGATTTACATTAAATATTTACTTTTCATGGTTGCTGTTTGGAATCTAGACTTCAGTAACTGATATTAACCTCAATAGCCACCTTGGAAGACCATGTACAACTGCCAAAGTTTCGGCAGCTTCTCAAAGTACTCTTGAAGGCAATCTTTATAACAGCACTCGTTTGATTTTGGGAGTTTTATTATTTCTGTAACATATTTATTCTAATGGTAGCGAATTTGTAGATAAGTGTCCCCCTTATTCAAGTGTCTCTTATTCTGACTTTTGCCAGCGTATGCGGCGGACATCATTCTGTTGTGGCTTTCGTTATATGAGCCTATGGATTTAGGTTTAGTGTTATGTCCACTCCCAGGTCTCTTCTTCTAGTTGTTACAGGGAGATAGTCTCTCTGCTATGTGTATTGACCTTTCGGTCTCAAGGCTCCTGTTCTCATTTCCATCACCTTGCACTTGTTAGTGTTGAACTCACGCAGCCATTTCTCGGACCAGCTCTTCAACATGTTCAAGTCGTCCTGGAGAATCTTGCAATCCTCATCTGTCTCAACCCTCTTCATTAGTTTTGCATCATCTGCAAACATCAACCTAAAAGTCTCAACTCCTGTAATCAAGTTATTACATAAATAAGAAATAGAATGGGTCCCAGCAACGATCCTTGAGGCACTCCGCATGTTACACTATGCCAGTCGGACTCCTCGCCCCTCAATGTCACTGACACCTATCTGCTAGGTAATTCCTTACCCATGATAGTGCGTTTCCGCCTACTCCCGCCAGCCTCTCAAGTTTACATAGTACCCATCTACGTAGTACTGTATCAAAGGTATACTCACTGTACTCACATAGTTGTACTCTCCTATATGTGCTGGCCGGTGGTTGAGCTTTGGCTCTTTGATCCCGCCTCTCAACTGTCAATAAACTGGTGTACAGATTCCTGAGCTTACTGGGCTTTATCATATCTTCATTTAAAACTCTGTATGGAGTATGCCTCCACCACATCACTGCCTAATGCATTCCATCTGTTATGAAAGATCATTAACGTATATAAAAAATAGGATAGGTTCGAATACATAACGGGACTCCACTGGTGACATCATGCCAGTCTGAGGTCTCACACGTTACAGTAACCCTCTGCTTCCTGTTTCTTAGATGCTCCCTTATTCTTATGCTCCCTACCACTTACTCCAGCTTGTTTCTCCAACTTATGCAACTATCTCTTATGGGGTATGGTGTCAAAAGCTTTCCGACAGTCCAAGAAAATGCAGTCTGCCCCTCCTTCTCATTTTGCTTAATGTTAGTTTTTTGGTCATAGAATTATATTAAACCTTTTAGACCCGACATGCCTTCCCTGAACCCATGCTGGTGACGTGTTACACAGCCTCTTCTCTCCAGATGTGCTACCAGGCTTTTTCTCGCGATCTTCTCCATCACATTGCATGGTATAGAAGTTAAGGACACCGACCTGTAGTTAAGAGCCTCCTGCCTATCCCCCTTTTAGTAGATTGGATTTACATTAGCCGTCTTCCAACTCTCTGGTGCATCTCACATTTCCAGTCACTAGTTATAGACCATAGATAGTGATACATAAAGTGCTTCTTTTAGCATCCATGGAGAAATTTCATCAGGTCCAACAGCCTTAGTAACTTCTAGATCAAGCAAATATTTCCCCACCTTATCTCTAGTAATTTCAATATCTTCCAAGTCTGCTTGGTTTATCACCACCAATCTTAGTTCATGGACGTCTCCTTGCTCTATTGTGATTAAGACCTCCTGGAATCTCTTGTTGAGTTCTTCACACACCTCTTTGTCATTCTCTGTGCACCCACCAGACCACACACTAGAAATTGAAGAGACGACGACGTTTCGGTCCGTCCTGGACCATTCTCAAGTCGATTGTGATGAGGACAGGTAGGGACAGGAATTAAATAGGCAAGAGAGAGCTGAGGAGGAAAGTCAGGTGTAGGGGATAGTAGTAATGAGAACTGCAGCAGGCCTATTGGCCCATACGAGGCAGCTCCTATTATAACCACCGAAGGAGATGGTAATAGGAAAAAGAAGAGGATAGTAAGGGAGCGTAGAAGACAATGAACAGAAAAAGGGAGAAGAGAGAAAGAAAGGGAAAGAGAAAGAAAGAAATGGAAGGGGGAAAGCTTATGTTAAGTCACGTTTGTTAGAAAGATTAGAGCATTTGAGTATATACTGTGAAAGGGAAGAGTCCACAGCAACAAAGCCAGGACTCAAGTTCATGTTGGGTACATTGTTAATAAGAGCCGATTCTACAAGACGGCGTCTGTGTAGAGTAGAGGCAGGAATTGTCATTGTCTTCATTTCATTGTCATTTCATTCAGTTCATTGTCTTCTACGCTCCCTTACTATCCTCTTCTTTTTCCTATTACCATCTCCTTCGGTGGTTATAATAGGAGCTGCCTCGTATGGGCCAATAGGCCTGCTGCAGTTCTCATTACTACTATCCCCTACACCTGACTTTCCTCCTCAGCTCTCTCTTGCCTATTTAATTCCTGTTCCTACCTGTCCTCATCACAATCGACTTGAGAATGGTCCAGGACGGACCGAAACGTCGTCGTCTCTTCAATTTCTAGTGTGTGGTCTGGTCATCATACTTCAGCCACGTTATTGTGACTCATCGCCTGCAATGCTCTTTTATATTTAGGGACTGTATATCTATGATCAGGTTCATAGAGAGAGGATAGGCTACGAATTGATAGTCTGGAATAATGCAAAATTCTGTAGTTTTAATTCCCGTCATTTTATGTACTGCAATTGTTTGTGTTTTTTCACATAATGCTCCTACTTTCATAACATTCCGTATAGCTCTAGAGAAAACAATAATAAAATATAGTAACAATAATAAAGACAATGATTAAATTTATATGAAAGCCAATACTGAGATAGCAAAATATTTATATTCTTTTAGTATTATTGAACATAAGTTTGTAATAATTATCTTCCTAACAGCTTGTGCACTGAAACCCAAAAAGAAGTGTAAGAAATACAAGGGCGTGTGCAAGAAGAAGTGCGGGACGAAGGAGCGCCAGATAGCCAAGGGCTGCTCCAAGAAGAATTGCGTCTGCTGTGTCAAGGCTTGCAAGCCATTGAGCGCCTGCAATGTTCTTGGTGGTCACTGTGTCGACAATAAGAAACTCTGCACAGGATTGATAAACAAAAAGGGCTGCAAGGGAACCAACTGTCTCTGTTGTTATCCAGGTAAGACATCCGATTACCATCACTTAAGCATATACTTGAACATCTGTGATCGGATTTACATTAAATATTTACTTTTCATGGTTGCTGTTTGGAATCTAGACTTCAGTAACTGATATTAACCTCAATAGCCACCTTGGAAGACCATGTACAACTGCCAAAGTTTCGGCAGCTTCTCAAAGTACTCTTAAAGGCAATCTTTATAACAGCACTCGTTTGATTTTGGGAGTTTTATTATTTCTGATACATATTTATTCTAATGGTAGCTAATTTGTAGATAACTGTCCCCCTTATTCAAGTGTCTCTTATTCTAACTTTTGCCAGCGTATGCGGCGGACATCATTCTGTTGTGGCTTTCGTTATATGAGTCTATGGATTTAGGTTCAGTGTTATGTCCACTCCCAGGTCTCTTCTTCTAGTTGTTACAGGGAGATAGTTTCTCTCCTATGTGTATTGACCTTTCGGTCCCAAGGCTTCTGTTCTCATTTCCATCACCTTGCACTTGTTAGTGTTGAACTCATGCAGCCATTTCTCGGACCAGCTCTTCAACATGTTCAAGTCGTCCTGGAGAATCTTGCAATCCTCATCTGTCTCAACCCTCTTCATTAGTTTTGCATCATCTGCAAACATCAACCTAAAAGTCTCAACTCCTGTAATCAAGTAATTACATAAATAAGGAATAGAATGGGTCCCAGCAACGATCCTTGAGGCACCCCGTATGTTACACTATGCCAGTCGGACTCCTCGCCCCTCAGTGTCACTGACACCTATCTGCTAGGTAATTCCTTACCCATGATAGTGCGTTTCCGTCTACTCCCGCCAGCCTCTCAAGTTTATATAGTACCCATCTACGTAGTACTGTATCAAAGGTATACTCACTGTACTCACCTAGTTGTACTCTCTTAGATGTGCTTGCGGGGGTTGAGCTCTGGCTCTTTGGTCCCGCCTCTCAACCGTCAATCAACAGGTGTACAGTTTCCTGAGACTATTGGGCTCTATCATATCTACACTTGAAGCTGTGTATGGAGTCAGCCTCCACCACATCACTGCCTAATGCATTCCATATTCTACTACTCTGACACTGAAAAAATTTGAGTGTGTGTGTGTGTGTGTGTGTACTCATCTAGTTGTACTCACCTTGTTGTGCTTGCTTATATGAGTGAGCTTCAGCTCTTTGGTCCCGCCTCTCAACCGTCAAGAGTTAGCCTCCACCACATCACTTCCTAGTGCATTCCATTTACTATCTACTCTGACACTGAAAAAGTTCTTTCTAATGTCTCTGTGGCTCATTTGGGTACTCAGCTTCCACCTGTGTGCCCTTGTGCGTGTGCCACCCGTGTTAAATAATCCATCGTTGCCCACCCCTGTTAATTCCCCTAAGAATTTTGTATGTGGTGATCATGTCTTCTCTAGCTATTCTGTATTCCAGTGACGTGAGGTGCAGTTCTCTTAGTCTGTCCTCATAACTCATGCCTCTTAGTTCTGGGACTAGCCTAGTGGCATACCTCTGAACTTTTTCCAGCCTCGTCTTGTGCTTGACTAGATACGGGCTCGAGGCGCGGATTGGATTGGCCTTACGTATGTGGTATACAAGGTTCTGAAGGATTCCTTACACAGGTTTTTGAGAGCAGTTCTGATGTTAGCCAGCCTCGTATAGGCCACTGATGTTATTCTTTTGATGTGGGCTTCATGAGACAGGTTTAGCGTGATATCAACTCCTAGATTTTTCTCTCTTTCCGCTTCGTGAAGGACTTCATCTCCCATTCAGTATCCAGTGACTGGCCTCCTTGTTCCTCCTCCAAGTTTCATTACCTTACATTTACTTGGGTTGTACTTTAGCAGCCATTTGTCGGACCATTCCTTCAGTTTGTCTAGGTCTTCTTGTAGCCTCATACTATCCTCCTCTGTCTTGATCCTCTTCATAATTTTTGCATCATCAGCAAATTTCGAGACGAACGTATCAATTTCTTTTGGGAGATCATTTACGTATATCCGAAACAGTAAAGGTCCAAGGACTCATCCCTTTGGGACTCCACTGGTGACTCCCCGCCACTCCGAGGCCTCACCCTTCACGGTGACTCGCTGTGTCCTGTTGCTTAGGTACTCCCGGTACTGTAGTTAGGTACTCCAGGGTACTTAGGTACTGTGTGTGTGTGTATGTGTGTGTGTGTATGTGTGTGTGTTTGTATGTGTGCGTGTGTGTGTTGGCTTCAGGATATGAAATCGGTAAATAATTTATATGTTGTTCTCACCTGAACAAAAATTTCTACATAAAACCAATATTTTTCTTTGTCACTGAATTGTTTTAAAATGAAATTTTTCGGACTATTGTGTCACAAATATATTCAAAACAAATATTTCATATAACTAATAACATAAACATATCAGGATGTGATGCCCAGTGAAATTGCTAAAACATTTATCTCTGGTTCTGGACGGGGTACCCGGCAACACCCGGGTAGTCCCTGTGCCCAGGCCTCTCCCACACATTCTCCCAGGTCTTCCCCACACCTACCCTAGCCATCATCCTCCCCCCCCCCCCCCCCCCCACACATACTCTTCCCATCTCTTCTGACATACCCCTCTGCGTCATCCTTGTCACACACCTTCCACATCTCCCCCACATCATTTTAACAGTTTTTACAACACTGTCTTCATCACTGCAAACATTTTCGTGCCATAACCATCTCAACTTACAAGCTTCGCCTCTTCTTCAACACATATCCCGCTATGAATACAATTATTTTCACTACACATTATCTACATCACCATAATCGAAAGGTCGTACCGAGAATGCAAATCGGTCGCCTGAACATTCGTTTTGCATGTTAATGCATGAATACACAAATATTTAAATGAATGCTAAATTCTACGTACTTTTGGCTGAACATTTATATAGACTTTTGGATAGGGGTGTGGAGGCCGAGGCTCCTTCAAGGGAGGCAAAGGGGCCGACCCTGCCCACCCTACATGACTAAAAATCAACACTCACTATACAGAGTTGCAAGAGGCTAGCCCCAAAAGTCTGGCATCTAACCTTGTTTGGTTAGAAACTAGACTCTCAGGGAGAGAGAACAGAATAGTTATTCCGTTCCCTTTCCTCTTGCCTTCCATTTTCTTTGTCTCACGTTTCATCTCCATCCCTCTCATACGTTCTCTCCTCCTCTTTCCTGTTTTTCTTCATTATGTTCTTTTTCCAATGTTGAATCAATGTTATATACATTGATTCAACGTCGATAACAGAAGAAATATCTAATATTAACACTAAGGATAATCAAACCCATATTTCAGGCTTCATAGTTGTTGATAGTCGCAATAGGAGTCAGTCCTACTTAATGAGAGGCATTGGGGTCGACACTAACCAATTAAGAAACCAGCCATACACACATAAATCACCCTGTAAAGTTTTGTGAGGTTAACTACCTCCAAGTGTCTGGCCCTTAAGCTCGAACAAACAATTCAACAGACGATCTCTTTTAGATATAAATACATTCATTCACGTGCATATCAATATCTCTGTAAGCTTTGTTTAATGAAATATTATTATCTAATAATCCCTATTTAAAATACTTATATGTACAGTTTTAATTTGTACTTACTAACGTTAAATTTTTTGTCGTTTTCGACTGATACAGCTTCGACAACAACCCAAGTGTCAAATGCAACAACCTCAAGATCATATACAACTATTGCAGCAAACTCAACTACTGCAACAAACACTATAACAACTTCAACCAACGTGACAACATTGGCAACCAGTGTGATAACTACTGCAGCCAACACGACAACTACAGCCAACACGCCGACTACAGCAGCCAACACGACGACTACAGCAGCCATCACGACGACTACAGCAGCCAACACGACGACTACAGCAGCCATCACGACGACTACAGCAGCAAACACGACGACTACAACAGCCAACCCAACGACTACTTCAGCCAACACGACGACTACAGCAGCAAACACGACGACTACAACAGCCAACCCAACGACTACTTCAGCCAACACGACGACTACTATAGTAAATACAACAACTACTGTAGTCACCACAACTACAGTGAACAATACAGCATTACTGGCTAATCTCACTTTGCAACTCAACCTGTTACTCGCCACTCTAAACGGTACAACTAATATATTAACAACATTGCAAGCCCTTCAAGTTCAAATTAATAACATTATTACCACAATTAACGCAATACTTGGAGCAGGGAGGAGGAGACGCAGCACCTCACAAGAAATTCTGTTGATCCAATATATCATCGACAACACAACAGACGCGTTGGCAAATAGTGACTTTACCTCTGCCAATGGTTTCCTTCCCCAGCTAATTGTGGCGCAGACCAAATTAGCCCAGATATTATCATGCGCAGTTAATCGGTCGTTGTTAGTCAATTCAGGCCTGCTAACAAGCGCACAGTCTGCTCTAGTCAGCGTCAACAAAGCTATATTTGCTGCTAATACACAGAGAAGCAGTACGGTCGACCAGATCAACACCGTTCAGGCACAGATCAGCCAACTCGGAGGAACCACTGTGATTGTACCTACCATCTCGCCCCTGATAATCACCCCGGAGTCCTTGGTCAGTTGCCAGTTAACAACCTCAGCACCAAACCCAACTACTCCGAGTACCAACATAACTACTACAGCCATCATAACTTCTACGGCCAACAATTCAACCGTCAATGCAACATTGGCGAGTCTCACTTCGCAACTTAGCCAACTCCTAAGCGCCTTAAATCAAACAGACAACGCTATTACAAATCTTCAAATCCTTCAGAGTCAGCTGGCTAGCCTTGTGGCCGCAGTTAACGCATCGATAGGAGGAGGAAGAAGAAGAAAACGCAGCCCTGCAGATGAAATCATCAAGATTACAACGATCATCACACAAGTTCAGTTAGTGATAAAACTAGGTAACATTGACGCATTAACTTCATTGAACGGGCAACTGATAACGGCGGTGATCATAGCGACTACAATAACACAAAGTATTATTACTAAACAATATATACCCGATGAGACCTTTCGGACGACGGTGATAACAACTGTTACCGATATTATTAGTATCGTCATAGATGCAAGAACTCTGAGAGCCACTATAGTGGAAGAAATCACAGTAGTTCAGGTGAGCATCAGCCAAAAGGGAGGAACCACGGTAACTATACCTCCAGCCCCACCAACCCAGACAATCGTTCCCACGGAAACACCACTGGCAACAATCCCAGTTAGCACACCGCCTCCAGCAATCCCGAGTACCACTTCAGTTTCAGCATTCCCCATTCTATCAACCACAGGAACTGCACCGGGTTCTTCAAGCCCAGGTTCTCCACAGGGTACAACAGTACCTGGTACTACACCTGGTCAAACAAGTATAGGTACTTCACCAGGCCCAACAACCTCTGGTGGTACAACAGGCCCAACATCCTCTGGTAGTATAACGGGTCCAACAACCTCTGGTGGTACAACGGGTCCAACTGCCTCTGGTGGTACAACGGGTCCAACAGCCTCTGGTGGTACAACGGGTCCAACAGCCTCTGGTGGTACAACGGGTCCAATAACCTCGGGTGGTACAACTGGCTCAACATCTGGTTCTAGTTCAACCTGAAAAGTGTAGTGTATCAAGCTCAACGACCTCGAGTTGTACAACCAAAAATGAACGGTAGTATAGCTATCAGCTAACAGTACTACAACAGTAAGTGAAACAATTTAGAAGACTACAACAAGAAATAGAAAATCTTCAGTGATTACAACCGGAATTTCAATAAGAGTAGGGAATATCAGCATAATATACGGAAGTCAAATGTCACTTATTAGTATGAATGATACAATATAGTTAATTAGCTGTTTTAATAGTTTTCTTCGGCCATACACATTAACACATGTTAAAAGCACACATTGACACATTTTAAAGGTATATATCAGCACCTGTTCAAAGTGCACATTAAAACTTGTTAAAATATACGTTAACAAATATAAAAGCATCATATTAACATATGTTACAAGTACACATGAACAATGTTAAAAGTACACATTAATACATTGTAAAGGAAACATTAACTCATGATTAAATTACATGTTAACACATGTTAGAAGTACAAATATAAACATGGTAAATCTACACATTAACAAATGTTAAAGGTAAACATTAACACCTTAAAAGCAAGATAAATAAAACCAGATCTTTAATTCCATATTATGACACACAGATTTGTTTAATGAAATGCACAAATGTTAATTCCTTATTATGTAACAAAAAAATTCGTTTCAAATGCATTTTCGTTGCAAACTGTGAACTGACATATTTGATAGTTTTATGTAATGTTTATATCATCACTTTGATGAAGTATTTCCTAAATATCACATTCACAATCTGATATATTATATATATTAAAACTACTTTCTTATCAAGTTAAATGTATTTATTCAATTTTATTTTATCACATGCATATGACTGTTATACACACAAGATCGGTCCGGTATTGGCCTTTTGAGTGCTGCACTGAGCATTTACACACAAAAACTGTTCTGGACAAGTAAACTCTACAGAACAACATGTATTTTATTAATCCCGAGTGTGTGAGCGCTTTCCTAATGGTGCTTTCGAAAACGAGTCTAGGTCCTTGTGCCCCACCTACTAGCCTTGTTATACTTGTTTCGTTATATATTTTACTACTCAAGTCGATAACAGACCTGCAACACTACTCTCGACGCAAACAATAGACCTTAACAATAGTCGCAATGAATGCCACCTTATGAAACACATACCTATTGCTGAGGTCCATAAAACAATAATAGGTTTCAATAACAAGGCGCCAGTTCAGTAGCAGGATAAATAAGATGGTATTAACCTACCTACCAGTGATTGCACTCCATCAATACACATGTATAGTAAATGCAGCTCTTGTATCTGGACTAGTCCCCACATACTTCAAGAATGCCACAATCAGATTAATCCACAAGTCAGGAAAACCTCCAACACAAACTGAAAATTACAGACCAATTTCCCTCCTCGAAGTATCAAGCAAAATATTCGAAAAAAAATAATCAGAGATGTGTGAAGTACATGGAAGAGGAAGCGAAGTATAACACCAGATAACATGGGTTAGAAACTGCAGAGGGACCCATACAGCTATAGCCCTGATCTACGAGCAAATAGTTAACGTAATGTCGAAAAGAGATCAGTGTAATATAGTGCTTAGAGACGTTTAGAAATCCTTCGACAAAGTTTGGCACACAGGCCTGAAATATAAGATATAAGAGCTAGGACTCCCACAGAGATTTACTGCTACTCTCTGCAGCTTTATAGAGAAGAGAACTGCTAGGCTTAATATCGGCAGCTGCTTGGGTGACTTCATAGAATTTAAAAGTGGAGTACCATAAGGAAACTGCCTCTCCCCCACTCTATTCAACATATATACAACTGACCTACCCCAACCCCAGCATGGAGAATACATCACATACGCTGACGATGTCACCCAAATAATATGCAAACCAGGACCATCAAAGCCGCTACTATCCAACAAGACCAAGGCAGCAATTGAATTCATAAACAACTTTAAGAAGCAATGGAAAATTAGCACAAACAAAAGTTCCAGATAATACATGCTATATATTCATAATGGCTTGGCGCTTTCTCCTGATAATTCCTTCCTTCCCTCCAGATAATACCCATTGCAAAAAGAAATCCGAATCCCATTATACTTGACAATCGTCCTATACAATATGCGGAGGTTGGCAGAATACTGGGATTCACAATCAATAGAACAGGGATCAAAATTTTCGTAAGGGACCGACAAAACAAAGCCAAAGCAGCCTTAGGAAAACTGAGGAGATTCCGAAGCCTCAGTACAAACATACACATACACCTATATAAGGCTCTAGTTTCGCCGCATCTAGAATATCCCCGAGAACCACTACACACCTTAAAGAAAACTAACATGCAAAAACTACAAGAAGTGCAAAATAAGGCATTAAGGAGAGCAGCTAAACACCGTCCACAATATGATCAGACAATCCAGGAGCTCCATGAACTCCTGAACATATAGCTACTAAACATCAGACTACAGCATCAAGCCATCAGGGTGTGGAACAATATCAAAATGTTAGAAGGCCCAATGTCAGTAAGATTACTCCAAGGTGAGACGCACCGCTCCCACAGCTGGTGGCCCAAGAGCCTCGATTTACTAGATGAAAACCCAGCCCCACAATACATAATTCCCAGATGAAATACAGACCAGAAATCCCTCCCCCAAAGTATTGGGGGAAGGGATTGCGTATATTTAAATACGCAAATGCGTATATAATATACCCAAACTGCGCATATTTAAATGAATCTATATACTTATACATCTATAAATCAAAATAGCCTTAAACAGAATTGGGAATTGATGTTCCCAATTTTCTGATGGGAACATCAGATCATCTGATCATCAGATGAGGGAGTGGGGAATGGTGGAAAGGACGAGGGGATGGGAGTGGGGAATGGTGGAGACCGAGGGGACAGGGGAGGGGGTAATGATGGGGGAGGACGAGGGGACAGGGAAGTTGGGAATGGTGGGGACGAGGGGACAAGGGAATGGAGAATGGTGGGGAGGACAAGGGTACAGGGGAGTGGGGTAGACGAAGGGATGGAGGAGAGGGAAATGGTTGGGAGGACGAGGGGACGGGGGAGTAGGAGATAGTGGGGAGGATGAGGGGGATGGTGGAGTGGGGAATGGTTAGGAGGACGAGGGGATGCTGGAGTGGGGGATGATAGGGAGGAAAAAGAGACGAGGGAGTGAGGAAAGGTTGGGAAGACGAGGGAATGGGGGAGTGGGGAATGGTTGGGAGGACGAGGGGACAGAGGAGTGAGGAATGGTTTGGAGGGCGAGGGGAATGGTGGGGAAGGACTGGGAGACAGGGGAAGGTTGCTGTGGCTCAGCAACAGCCACAGCAATTCCACGACCCAGAGATGGCTTCTTGAACCTAGCTGGAATCAACCTCACTGAGGACCAAATCATTCTCCTAAATCTGAATATAAACTGTCACGTTATATCCAGACCAAGTGAGATGGCCTGGAAAGTGGAGTCGGAGATCCTAATGGACGACATATTCGACTTCGAGACGCAAAAGAAGGTTACCACTAAAGACACCTTGCAGGCAGAACTTATTGCAAAAGGAGGAAAGATTCGAGGCAAATACAGAAGCAACATACTGTCCCCCCGAGCTCAAAGTGGGAGTACAGGCCGCTTTGGGACAGGACCAAGGTACAGGTACAGGACACTACAGCCGAATTGAACTCAAAGGTAAACAGAGTAATCGAAACTGTTAACGCCAAGAAATCCAGACTCCACCTGCCAAAGGTTATTGGGGAATACAAACCTGGGTATGCGTATAGAAATGTCAAGACCCACAAGCCTGGAAACCCACTTCGGCCAATCATCAGCCAGATACACACACCCACGTACAGACTGGCTAAGCAACTCAATGGCTTGCTGACCATGTACCTTGTATGTACCTTGTGCTTTCAGCCTGAAGACTCCAAAAGAATTTGTTGATTTAATGTGGGGAACACGGGCAACATGGATAAGAGCCTCGTTGGACGTAAAATCACTGTTTACCAACGTAACTGTGGATGAAACAATCGGGATGATAGCGGACAGAGTGTATCGTGATCCGGCTTCTCTTGACATACCATAAAAGAGATTAAGGAAACTACTCCAAGCTTGTACTAAAGAGGCACCCTTCTTGAGCCCAGATGGGCACACGTTTAAGCAAGTAGACAGGGTCACCATGGGTTCTCCCCTAGGTGTCCTGTTTGCGAACTTCTACATGAACACTATCGAGCAGATGGTCTTAGTTGACATGGACTTGAAATATGCCATATACTGCAGGTATGTTGATGACATTTTTACACAGGTACCTGATGTCAGACGTCTGCAGAAGCTGAAGGAGGCATTTGAGCAGAATTCTGTGTTGAGTTTCACTTTCGAGATGGAGAAGGATGGGAAGCTGCTCTTTCTAGATATAACAGTCACGGAAAAGAGCGGAGGCTTCCACACTGCAGTCTACGCTAAGGACACAAACATAATAATGTGTCTCAATGACAATTGTAACTACCCAGACAGGTACAAGAGGAGTGTTGTAAACGCTTATGTCGACCCTGCTCTCAGCCACAGCTCAGGAAGGAAGGAAGTCGATGAAGAACTCTGCAGGGTAAGGTAGGTCCTAGTCAACAATGGCTTCTCTAATGGTTTTGTTGAAGACATCATAAAAAGAAAGGTAAAATGCCATGCAACTTCTGAAGAGTCAACTAACACAACACATGTACCTACTATTAGACTATTTTACAGGAACTTCTTTTCGACAGCTCATAAAACGGTGGAAAGAGTCCTGAAAGATATTGTTGATAGGAAAGTTATCCTTACAGACAAAAATCAGAAAATACAATTGACGATTTACTATAAAACCAAAATACAGCCAACCTAGTCATGAAAAACTCTCCAGACACAAAGCAGAACGCCTTGAAGGAAACCAACGTCGTCTATGCCTTCAAATGCCCATTTGGGGACTGTAAGCCCCAAAGAACTCAGTGTATAGGCAAGACAACAACATCTCTTTCCAGCCGATTTACAATGCATAAACAACAGGGCTCCATAAAGGAACATATAATCACCTCTCACAACCAGACCATCACAAAAGAAATCTTAACATATATATATATATATATATATATATATATATATATATATATATATATATATATATATATATATATATATATATATATATATATATATATTATTAAATATTTTCATAAGAAAAAAATTATAGTAAATATATTAATTCAAGAAAACTTGGCTTATTAGGCAAATCGGGCCTTGAATAGTAGGCTGAGAAGTGAGTTCTGGCTACTAGGTACGACATATATATATATATATATATATATATATATATATATAATATATATATATATATATATATATATATATATATATATATATATATATGTCGTACCTAGTAGCCAGAACGCACTTCTCAGCCTACTATGCAAGGCCCGATTTGCCTAATAAGCCAAGTTTTCCTGAATTAATATATTTTCTTTAATTTTTTTCTTATGAAAAGATAAAGCTACCCATTTCATTATGTATGAGGTCAATTTTTTTTATTGGAGTTAAAATTAACGTAGATATATGACCGAACCTAACCAACCCTACCTAACCTAACCTAACCTATCTTTATACGTTAGGTTCGGTTAGGTAGCCGAAAAAGGTAGGTTAGGTAAGGTTAGGTAGGTTAGGTAGTCGAAAATAAAATGCCATGCAACTTCTGAAGAGTCAACTAACACAACACATGTACCTACTATTAGACTATTTTACAGGAACTTCTTTTCGACAGCTCATAAAACGGTGGAAAGAGTCCTGAAAGATATTGTTGATAGGAAAGTTATCCTTACAGACAAAAATCAGAAAATACAATTGACGATTTACTATAAAACCAAAATACAGCCAACCTAGTCATGAAAAACTCTCCAGACACAAAGCAGAACGCCTTGAAGGAAACCAACGTCGTC